CCCTTTTGAAAAATTATGGATCCGGCCGTTTTATAAACCTTCCCATAATGTTCACAGCCTGGAAAAATGTTTCAGGAGAGAGTTTATAAAAGAGGTTCAAACACCGGAGTCTGTCGACTACATTGTTATACAGTGCTACCGTCACTTCTCCTGATTTCTAAAAAAGGAGGAAAGAAGTAAAGCTTGTAAATTTAATATACATTGTCTGCCAACACCACATCAGATCACTCTACTGATCTCAGAATAGCTATTTTGTACGAAAAATCAGTAATTTCAGTTTAAAAACCTAGTTATTTATATATAAAAAACATATTAAATTCTAGACATAGAATACTGTACAATACCTTTTCAGAGAACTGTAGATACCTGTCTCTTATACACATCTAGATGTGTATAAGAGACAACATTCCTTTTCATATTATTATTATTAGTTAATTATTATTGATATTAGTTGTCTTACCTGTCTGTGATGAGGGACTCTGCATCGGATGTCCTTAAGAGCGGCGCCTCATTTTCAGGTATGGATGGAAGACGGCACGCTGTCATACAGCTCATACGTATTTGCTTTGCAGTCCGCATTGACACAGTCCACGATAGCTTACTATGAGGGCGCTTGCATTCGGATGATGCATAAATATCCAAGAATTCTCTCATTAAAGATTTGCATTGAAGTAACTCACAGTCTGACATCTTTTAAAGTAGAAAAATATATATTTCTTTTCAATTTGGTATTTCTCATCTTTTAAATTTTATCTTTTCATCAAATGTATTCCCTAATATTAGGAAAGATTTACTAGTAATTTCACTTGCTGTCATTATCAGTGGGATATTTTGCACCTCATTAAAAACTCTTTGGCATATCCTTGGTCCTAGTGCCTAAAGCTGAGTAAATAAAACACTTAGATTTTTGTAACTCACAGTGTGACATTTTTAAAAGTAGAAAAATATATTTTTCATTTAAGTATTTTTTATCTTGTATCTCTATTAAGAAAAATTCACTAGTGAATTTACCTTCTCTTGTCATTATGAAGTACATTAGGCAATTTTTTATTCAATTTAAAAAAAAATATAAACAGATTTTTCCATATTTTGGGTTTAGGTGAGACTGTTATACCTTCTTTCGCGAACCTATTTAAAAAAAAATATTGTCAGATCTTCTTTAGCAAGTGGTTTTACCAAAAACATTAAGACAGAGGAGAAAATAATGTTATTGTTGAATGTAAACAGTGTAGATGGGTTGGTTGAATGCCTTAAAGTTATATAATTAGAAAAAATATACATACAGTATCTTATATTTGGAGATTTCAAGGCAGCAGTGGGTGTACTAAAAATAAATAACTCTGAAATTTTCCATTTTTTGTGGCAGGGGGTGAGCTAATTGGCAAAAAATTAAATATTATTTTTGTTCAAAATCATCATTATTGGTAGGTGGTGGGTGTGCTAAACAAGGTATAAACCAAGTCTTGTTATTTCACTTAAAAATAAATGTATTGGCAAGTGTGACTTACTCGAGTATGAAGCTGAAGAGCTAGTAGACATCTTGCCCATTCTCTCTCATTTGATTTGCTATGTATACGGGCAAAGTCAGCTAACTCATACGTCAACAATGACAATGCTTTTACTGATGACTACAAGATACAAGAACAAATTCATGTATTTAAAAAAATCAGTTTGTAACGAAGTATGACAATGTGGAGGTGCATCATTTGTGGTTCAGGTCCTGAACCTTGATAGGATTTTTGTGTCTATGCCCCCTCAGGGGCTAGACACTGGTCTAGCAGTTAACCCTATCAGATTGAGTAAATCAGGTATGGAGGAATGATGAAATGATTCATGAGCTAAGGATAAAAATGAAAATAAGACCTGTTCTAGAAAGTTCACTAAAAATTTCCTACAGTAAACAACACCACACATTTCATGATAACCGAATCCCTATGTGGATGCTTTTATTATTAAACATAACACTAGTACAGTAAGGCAAACCAGGGAGTTGTTATAACAACTCCCTGGGCAAACATACTCCCGATAGGAGCCTACTTTTAATTTTCCCTCCTGTTATAATAATAATAATAATATACTCAACCCGGTATTTCTAAGTTTCGGGGATGACAATGGATTAAATCAAAAACTTTTATGAAGACTTTGCTTGAAAATATGGAGATTGGAAAGGTCATTCCACAGCATAGCACCATGATATGACAGGCTATTTTTCTTGCACTCGGTGTTCACTTTAGGAATGTTAAAGTTGATGCCATTGGCAAGTCTGGTAATATAACAATTTTCTCTTAAGTGAAAGCGGTTAGAAAGATATGATGGAACATTGTTATTGAAGATTTGATACATAGTTATTGCTTCAGTATTGTGCATTCTTTGTTTAAGATTAAGTAGATTAAGGTCTTGCAAGGCTCGAGTACTGGAGTCACATCGTGAAGATCTTGTAATAATTTTTGCTTAATCTTTGTTGTCTTTGGTCAAGACAATTTTTCCATTAACTGTCAAAATATAGTGAATACTTTGGCTATCCTAAGTTTGTTTATATTTTTTTTGGCATAAAAATTTAACTCCACTGTTCTGTGTAAAGATATCTCATGCCAGACAATTCTTTTGATGACACAGTGATTTCAATAATAGATAAAGTAGTGAGCCCTCTGTTGGTCACTATTAAACATTTTTAAATATTTTTGTAGTGAGGGCGCTAACATGGAAGTGGTATTTTCATGCTTCCCCTATATGGTTTCTTTGAATGACCAACAAACGGCTTTAAAATAAAAAATAATGAATATTCATGATCGAAGAAGATATATGAAAGGCGCATTGCAAACACTTATTGTCCCAAACTATTATTGCGTATGAAATTGCCGTGATGAGCCCTGAGTATCTGGTTTCATCCATTCCTATTGGTCCAATTTTATAGCAATTTTTAATCTTTTCAGTTTTTTGTGTTTTTGAAATTATAAATAACAGTGAAGAAAAAATATATAGGTTTATTATTATTTCTTTGGTTCTAATAAAATTTATAGTTCTTAATATATATATATCTATATCTTCTACAATAAAAGTAAAAAAATCAAAAGAGAAATAATTATATAAAACCTAAATCACAATTTACCTTGTAATGAACAAATGCAAAATGGCACATACTAGCCTCCAGCTTCCTAGTAACTCGCTCCAAAAACTCTTGCCATGTACTCTTCAAGATATTCAATGCATTTTTTGCTTTACAAAATGAATGGAAAATTTGCAAGAAAGTGTTGGCTGTGGTTCCTTGGATGTCATAATGAAGCTTTTCCAGGATAATGCGTTCCATTCGGGATAGATCACTTAAAGATGCCCCGCACTGGCTGATGCGGAGTAAGTGTTTGGCGCACATATGATTCTGGAAAAGAGAAGCATGATTTGCTACGGTATTTACATCAGTAGAAAATAATCATGTAAACTTATTAATTATAATTCTATCAATAATATTATGATATACTGTATTATTTTTAGAATTATGATGGTGTACATTGCTGATAATTATTGGAATGTATCAAGCTCTTAAAAATAAGCAAAAAACAGAGGTAAGCTACCTTAGGTTGCTCAATAGTTTTAACTGCCATGTAGAAGCAACAAGTACCAACACACATAATGTGATGAGACCGGGCCTTTAAATAAAAGAGAAATATTTTAAGTTTTAATAATTTTTTAAAGAAATAATATAGTTTCTTCGGGAGCTGTGTTATGTAACACATATCCCTGTAGGATGTATAAATATGATTTTATCATTATTAATCAATTTACTATACAGTAGTTTAAATAAATTTAAAGCGATATATACCTTCACAATTGATAAAAACCTTCCCATAATGTTCACAGCCTGGAAAAATGTTTCAGGAGAGAGTTTATAAAAGAGGTTCAAACACCGGAGTCTGTCGACTACATTGTTATACAGTGCTACCGTCACTTCTCCTGATTTCTAAAAAAGGAGGAAAGAAGTAAAGCTTGTAAATTTAATATACATTGTCTGCCAACACCACATCAGATCACTCTACTGATCTCAGAATAGCTATTTTGTACGAAAAATCAGTAATTTCAGTTTAAAAACCTAGTTATTTATATATAAAAAACATATTAAATTCTAGACATAGAATACTGTACAATACCTTTTCAGAGAACTGTAGATACTCAATGTGTGGAGTGTATTTATCTTCAGACTGCAATGCTGAGTGAAGATCAGCTAACAGTTGGTCAGGACTTGATGCCATCTTCAATCTTTGCCTATTTACTGTATGTTGCTATCAATTAAAATATAAATGTTTAAATTATTAAGATATAAAATAAGATAAGATAAAAACATTATTTGTTAAAAATCTTAAATAATATAATAATGGCCAACTTATAGAGCCCATATCATAGAGATCTCTATGCACTTAATATAAATAAGAATTTAAAACATGGCGAAGTGATTTAGGCGGGGGGTGGGGTGCAACCTACAACCATATCGGGGCTGGTTTGAACGGCACGCTTGCCTATGGTTCTGGTGGACCTGATGTACACAATTGGCTTGTCGAGAAGTGTAGGGGTTATCCCAGTTTATTAGTGGTCCATTCAGCCCCTGTCGTTGTGGACACAAGAAGTTGCGCCACTTTGCAGCTGACTGGACATGACTTTTGGGGGGGGGGGGCAGAAGAATAAAGTTGGAGAATGAGTTGGTCCATGCAGGGAGGTATAAAAATACTTTTATACCTCCTTGGTCCATGCAGGGAGGTATAAAAATACTTTTATACCTCCCTGCTGGTCCACGCCTGTGCGCATTTCAGCTGCAATGCAAGTCACAGATTATTTTCTCCCTTCCTTATGAAAAGTCTTGTTGGATTATTTATTTAAATTGGGTTGTCCTGAATACAGTTGCTCTTTTGTATTTTTATATTTTAAAGGAATTAGATTAGCTTAGGCCTCTTAGCCTATGTCCTAGACCTAGGCTTCCCCGCCCCCAGCTAGCCTCATCATGACACTACTAACTTACTGTCCTGCATACTCACTCTCTTAGGCGAACTCTCTCTACTCTAGCCTAGGCCCTAGATAGAATACCTAGATAGGCCAGGGAGGTATAAAAATAACCTCCCTGGATAAGCATAGGGCCCTAAAGCCTTGGCTAGCTAAGAAGGCAAGGCCCTAGCCTAGCTAGGCTAGACCACAATTAAATATAATTTACTTACTTACTTGGCCTAGCCTAGGCTAGGCCTACTGACTGTAGATACTATCTAAGATAGACTAGACCTAGGGGGGCCTATGCTATATAAAAAAAACTTATTGTCGATTGATATATAAAATCATAAAAATGTATTCAGGCTGTCATGTAGGCCTAGGGCTATTGATAAAACTAACGAACAAACCTCCAACAACAAGCAATTCAAAGTTCAGCCGTGGCAGCTGCTTACCATGGAAGAATGAGACACGCTGATCTTTTTGACACACAATTGGGATCGATCGATCAACAAAGATTTTTTGTCGGTTTTGAACTGCGCGCCTTTTCCAGGGTCCTTGAAAAAAAACCAATGGAGTAGATACTCATTTACATACCAAGTAACACAAACAAATAGATTCAAGATTCAACCGCATTTATATATTACAAATTCAAACATCATTTTGATATACATTCCTGCCTCTAATAGCAACTTTGAAAAGTATATAAATATGTTTTAATAACCTAAAGTGTAAATATATTACCAAATATTGATTATAACTTGGTACTATTTGTTTACGATTTGATATTATACTCTTTGATAAGTCACGAGTCGTGACCAAGGATGCAAACAAAAACGTCATTCGCGTCAGATCCAGATCAGCTCAGCTGTATTTGGTGTCGCTTCGGAAGTAATTTTAGGAGTGTATATTTTATAGAATTTTTCATTTTTTTTCTGTTAAAAAAGATATCAAAATGTGTTAGACGGAACATAAATTGTTTGTGAAGCTTAAGGCTCACACTGACCTCACAAGCCAATGGTTTTTTTTCATTGTTAAGTGAGAGGTAAGAGAATTTTTTTTATCTTGTTGGGGTTGGGTTTGACAGCTGATCAGGCAGCAACAACAACGGATTGAGGTCAATCCTTGTCTGAGATAAACGAATTCAAGAGGGATACGTAACTCTACTCTTCTTGGGGCGTAGGCCTAGCCTATGGCCTAGACAATTATTGTAATGCATTGTATTTGATTCTAAACTTTATCTTTGAAATATATATATTATAAGCCTAGGCTAGGCTAATATTTTAAACTTCTGTGTTTAATTAAGTTTATAGTCATTCTAGGCCTAAATGTGTTTTATTAGGCAAGCAAAACAAATTTCGTTTTGTTTGATGACAATAATTTATTTTGATTCTTGATTCAAAATTCATACAGTTCAAATTATAAAACAGAAAATAAATAATAAGGTAGAAATCAAAAAATGAATTCACAGTGCAAATTCAAAACACAATTAAAAAAGGCCAAAGAAACAGAATTACAGGAGAGAAAGAAGGAAGTAACTTTTGAGGGACGATTTAAAGGAGGAGTAAGTATTAGCATTGTGGATGTCTAAGGGAAGAGAGTTAAAGAAAGAGGGGGCATTAAAGCTAAATGAAAGTTTGAAAAGTTCAAAGTGGGGTCTGGGGATACTAGTACAGTAGTCCGTGTGTGGAAAGAAGGGTTAAGGTAGTTTAATAATGATGGTGTTTTAGGTAAGAAAGTACATACTCCAAGTATTGAAATACACGCCATCGTTTTGGGATTCAATATTTAGACATTAATTATGTCATCATCAGGACATTATCGTTCCTGATGATGACATAATTAATGTCGAAATATTGAATCCCAACACGATGGCGTGTATTTCAATACTTGGAGTATGTATTATACTTTCTTATCTGAGATTAATCAGTGGACCTTTCGGTTTTTGATGGTGTTTTACGTATGATTAAATAACATACAGTACAACTACTACTAGGCCTACTACTTTGATTTTTGAACAAATGTTTCATTTTTGGATTTATTGACCTTAACTCTATTTTCTACAGTATTTACCTGTGTAATAACTATTTTATATACATTTTCAAAAAGAATCTTTTTTTTTTAACTTTTTATGTACTACTACTAGGCTCTACTGTGTTTCTTTGTGTATTTAAAGGGCATTTAAAAAAATAAATTATAATATCTTTTTGAGTCTTGAGTTTCCTATGTATTTTACATTGTAAAGCACCTATATAAATTATGTTGTTTAATTTATTGTTGAAATTCAAAATCATATATTGTGATATCCATCCATAGATAGAAACTGAAACATAACTAATACTTAAAAGAGAAACCAAAAAAAGCATTCTGAAAAAGATACAATATGTTTGGAATTCAACTACATAACATCAATGCATAGAATAATAGTTAATTCTTCTGGAAGATCTCTTCCTGTTGTTAAAATCTGTGCATTTCATGCCCATACTTGTTGATGTGTTGAATTGTTCCAGAGCAAACAATACCCCTTATTTACCTCAGCAAGTGAAGTGATAATCATTGGATTGGCATTGTAGGTCAAAATGAAAATCCCCTCATGAGTCAACTGGTACTGATTAATAATACTGATAGTGAAATTTCTGTGGTCATATAGAATATTCTGGTATACATAGATGTGCACTATCTTATTATGAAGCTTTTAAATGGAGCTATATTTTCACTATCGTCCAGCTGTCGTGCGGTCGAAAGCTCCCTAATTCTTGATTTTGTGGCATTACACTTTTAAACATGATATAAAAGAAAGTGAGAAAAGTCAACATTGTCTTACAAAATTAATTTATAAACTTATATGATTTTATTTGGAAATTTTGTTACCCTGTCATGAGCTTAAAATGTTCATTATTATTTATTTAATTTTTTATTATTAGCGTCCATAAATATTGTAGTTTTCTCTAATAAATCTTCGTTTATTAAATTGTGAATAATGATACATACTTTTTGTATTCGTAAAAAAAGTATGCTACACTAACATTTTTATATTGAAAATACTGTAGATTATAATTATTATCATTTCTTCAGGTCCTTGTGTAGTTGTGAGTGGTGGTTAAAAGAATCAATATGTTGAGGATACAGGAGGTTCATGATGTTAGGAAGCTACAGAACATGCTGGAGAAAGAGATGCACAGGGAACACAAGCTTTGGGCGCCATGTCTCATTAACCTTGAGGACTCTGAGGTAAGCTTTTCTTAAATATTAATAGTATACAGTAAAGTGCCAAGAATCAACAGGTATACTTGTACAGTATTAACTAGAGTTTTAAGTTAAAAAATTATGATGCCAGCCATAGAAAAATATATACGTAGCTTAATGGAGAATGTAGTAGAATGCAGTTGGCATCATCTAAATGGATTTTAACATACTATCTGCAAAGTAATGATGCTTAAAATTTAATATTTCATATGAACTGTGAATCTTGATTTAACGATTGCTATATTTGAACCTGGTGCACAGGGTGTTGGCTGACAATCGGCCAAAAAGTCTATCAAGACGGTTTTCCCCCACACAACACTTTCTGAAGATTGTTCATGGACGTCGAACAGATTGTCATAAAAACGATGCATAATATTGCACTGTGGCACCTTGAATCATTTTGGCCAGTGCTGTCTGCATCTGGCATAATGTTTAAATGTTAATGCTTGCGGTATTATGTTTTAGACTTTTTATTATATTGATAAAGTTTGTTTTTCTGTCCCTGCCCACACATTCAATTTATATCTAATGAAGGCAGCACTCAAAGAATGCGAACAAAAATTATTGTCCTGTAAATTTTTTTTTTTAAAGTCAATAAAAAACATAACTGCTATTTAAATGTATTTACTGTACCTGTGTAACATTGTCTCATCATTTCATCATTTTATTTAGGTTGCTAGTCACCTTGTATGAAAATATTACTCACAGTTTCATCATGTTACTTTGTGATAAGAGTTTATCAGTTTCATTGATATTTCATAATTATTTTCCAAACTACTTGTTTGAGCCATATATTGTGGTAAGAAATGGTTGTACAGAACTTGTTATTCAAGACTATAGTTAAATTTGTACAGTAGAATACCAAAATACCATTAAATTATACTGTACTTTATGCACACAGATCATGTACTGGATTATCTTTTCAATTTGATAACAACATTTATGTTTGTTTGATGTCATGATGTAATCATTCATTTTATTAATTCTACAGTTGTAATATTCAAGATAAAATTTAATTTTATTGTATTAAAAAGCATCAGAAATTATGAACATGATTTTGACAACTATTAATTATTGTATTTTACAGTACATTGAAATATTGATATGCCCAAAGACTGCGATGTAATTTTTGCTTTAGAAGTGATTTTCCAAATGAAATAATTATTATTTCTACTGTAGACTCCATTGTTATATCTAAAATAATGACTAACACAGAATTGTAGCAGTACAACCACTACAGTACTACACTGTGTTGTAGCATTCAGTTTTGTGGGATTATTAGTTTCTTTGTGTAAAATACACAACCATGGCAGGTGGCTATCACATGATCAACTCTGAAATAATATTTTGTAGGTCATACTAATGCTGAGCTTTTATTATAAAATTTAATATGAAAATGACTTGTTCTCAACTATGCTTTTTTTATGCTTTTGAAATTATTTTTTCCTTTATAAGCTTAATAAATTGAAAATTTATAGATTATAAAGTCAGGATAGCAAGCAGGAAGTAATATCAATTTTTAATTATTGTTTAATGCAGAACTGTACATCTAAAATTGTCTAAAATAACCTTGTAACAAAACTATATTAATATCCCATCTGACATATTTTTGACCATACTGTAAACTCTAAATATTTTATGAACAGAGAGGTTCTGCTTTTTTATGACGCAGTTGAAAATTATGATGCATGTTGTTAGTGAATGTGTTTTTACACTAGCTTTAAAAGTAACCAATGAATTTTGATTATGATGATAGCTAACCACTATGTGTGTCAGACAAATGCCTCAACCTTTGATGCTTATCATCGTCTTCAGGAAACCTAATTTCAATCATCTTTTGCATCATGTTTATGTTTTTATATTGTAATATACAAAATGTTTGGAATTTTCTGCAAATATTATTCTCCTGAAGATGATTGAAGCAACTTAATCGAAACATTCTTAACCAGCAACAGTTCCTTACAGAACTATCTACACGTATGTGGTGTACCACAAGCATTAATAAATATACAAAATAATTATTTAATGTTTTTTTTTTTCTTTTATTTCTTAGGATAAGTACATAACCATGGATGATCGTGATGAAGCTGTGATGTGGTTATTTGAAAAGAATACTGTATTTGAGTTTCATCCTGAGACCTTAGTACATAGCATTAATTACCTTGATCGCTTTCTCAGTGTTATGAAGGTGAGACATGCAAATTGTTATTATTACAGGCACTATAATATGGCACTCTACAAACAACACCATACCTAATAATTCCAAACAATGAAACTACAACCAAAACAAAACACTTATAATAAATGAAAGTATTTCCAAATCTTTTGGTGCGGTGGAGGTTATGTTTTGTTTCAAATCAGTAGTCCTACTGGGTCATCTGATGATTCAAGGCGGGCCTGTATCCCTCCAGAAGGTTGTGTTAGCACATAGTGTGTTGATATGTATAAGAGTAGACACAGTTGGTAGTACCACAATGGCATATTCAAGCAGTGATGATTAGAATGAACACATAGTGTTCAATATAAACAACAAGTTAATATCTACGTGCATTATCTTATTGTATAAAAAGCTTTTGGAAAATTAATATTATCATGACCATATTCATATTTTGAATAATATATTTGTACACCTGGTAGTAATACCCTCTATCTTTTTAAATGTCAGCATTTAATATGTGGTTTATGGTTAATTGACTTTAGCTCATCAAAGCAAAACAGTTGACACTGATTGAAATCATTATCAGTCCTAAACTTGCAATCACTAAAATTGTTCATTGTGCTGTTTTATATACAGACCTTTGCGCTACAACAATTAAGATAAAATGTAGTTTATTTTGTGTCACTCTTCGCACTAATCTGATGCTTATCCAAATACCCTTCTGGCAATTGAAGGCCCCAGTAAGCAAGTACATTAGATAGTGTACCTGCTTTTTATTATTCTAATCATCTGTCATTATTAATGCTGGCTACCACCATGGTATCTAGATGAAGAACTACTGTAGTGAAATCAATTATGCATTCTTTTCATGGTGAGAGTTTACAGGGTTCCAATTACCTCCCAAAATTCCCTACCTAGCAAATGGGTTTATTATAATAATGCACTAATATGCTTGCTTGATGATGAAAGTTGTCAGTAAAATCCAGCTTGTAATAAATAAAATCTGAGTGATATTACCATAAAACCTTGAATTGAAGCCCAGTGGGCTTAATCTCGAGATGAAGCTCATCTCAAATTGAAGCCCCCTCTTTTGTTTGCAAAATTAGCTTCTTTTCAAGAAAGCATAGGCTTCTTTTCGAGATAGTACAGTATATACACTGTACATGAATTTCAAAAAACAAAATAAATTTAGTACAAGCTTGGTTTATACAGTAGTTTAGGTGATTTAGTGTCAGTTAAATACACTCCATGATAGTTTTATAGTAGAAATTCGCAAAATTTACAGTACTCATTTTGAAAAGAAACCCCCTCTTTACTTTGCAAAAGTAGCCTTTAAATAAAGCCCATCTTGAAAAGAAGCCCATCTAAAGTTAATTATTATTATTATTATTATTATTATTATTATTATTATTATTATAGTTAATAATTTCATTTTTATAAAAATTACTTTTGAAAATGCTTACACAGCATTGTGTAAACAGCAGCTGGAGTAACTTAATAAATATTAATAATTAATATACAGTTTTTAAAATGTATATTTTCTAAACTATTTATAGGTTCACCCAAAATATATGGTGTGTATAACAGTTGCTTGTCTGTACTTGGGTAGTAAAATGGTGGAAGAAGATGAGGTAAGCAATTTATTTATGGAAAAATTATCTTTAGTAGTTTTTCTGAGTAAATATATTTAATGTTTTAGGTTTTTCAGACACTAACAAAACCTTTACAGATTTGTGTTTATCACTGCACCATAACAATACTATACAGAGGTTGAATTGGTTCCTTCTTCCTTGTATGACGTAGTTGCTTGAATCCTGTTGTGGTTTAGTACAGACCAATACTAGCAATCTGTTGTGTGCGTGACTTCCACCACGCTCCAATGATTGCTGCCTGAGATTATTAAACAGCAATACAACTACAGATGATATCTTTACAAGATAAGCCTACAATATTTGAGTGCATTAAGTTATATTTACATAGTGAGCAATCAACTGTAATTTCCTTAAGGTCAAAGTTAACATATAACTAACAACAAGCCAGCAAGTCAGAAATGTATGATGATATTCAAAAACATCTTTAATTACTAGGTTTGGTAGAGTTATTTAAAAGATTAATTGGCATATATTCATCAACCCTTGCTGGATAATCTTTTACCTTGTGACATACATTAAAATCTCTCCCATTGGTCTTATTGTTTTTGTCATCTTCAGTGAACAAAATCCATTTCATGGTTAATAAACAATGGCAATGGAGTGATTTAGCGATGATTATTTACAGGCGGTCACGTGACCTAACTTGGGTATACATGAAAAACATTACAGTGCGATAGCATAGGAAAAGATAATGGTATGGTTACGAAAGCAACCCCCCACTGTTAACGTGAGAAGTAAATGGCTAGAAAAGGCAATACGATTGTTCAAAATAGTGTTTATTTACTTATCCTAGTGTTCTCCTTGGATTTTATGCTTTGAAATTTAAGTGATCCATCATAAACCTTAGCTGGCCCTAACATCGCAGTGTACAGTAGTTCACGGGTCGAACATCATCTTGCATACCTAACCATGCCGTACATGTGCAGGGGCCTAGGCCTAACATTTGTCAAAAAATTGTTTACGGCCAGTATCTTTTACAGCATTAGCAAAACATTAAGGCAAAATTCTTTTAGTTTAATTTCCAATCAATTTGGTATAGTTTACTGGGAATTATGATGATCTTTACAGCAATTAACAAGGGACGGCTGCGATAGAAATCTCCATGTGAAACACCGCTGTGTCAGTGTATTGTTTATATCCAACACCAAAGTTAGGTCATGTGACGCCCATCGCTAAATCTCTCTATTGAAGTGTTTAGAATACATCATACAGTAAATAATAACACTTAGTATCCCTCTTGAATCTTTGTTTACTGATAAAAAAAAACAAAAAAAAAAACATGGGGTAGTTTTAATTTCCAGCCTTTTAGTATACAGTGCCCCTTACTACCTCACAGAGTATGCTCTTCCAGGGGTCCCAAATCTTTGAGATGTCGCAGGAGTTTCCCGGGAATTGGGAAGACCCCACGCACTTCCGCGAGCAAGCAAGAACTTCCCGGAGAATAACCCATCTCCCACAAATTCATGATATTTGCATGTTTTTACCAATTTTGGAATACTGTATTATCATTTGTCTCCCGGATGTTAGTGGCAGTGGGCATCACCATCCACAACAGAATATATTTAGATGTGTTAAGAAATGTGATTTAAACAGATCTCCCAGTTATGGATTTTTCCAACTTGGGAACCCTGCTCTTCAAGGTTAAAACAAATTATGAATAATACAGAAATTGGCATTTCCCCATTTACCAAAGAATGCAAAGCACTGGAGATGTATTATTCAATTGTACAAGGTACAGGATGGAGACCCCCCCCCCCCCAGTATGAAAGCTATGGGCACTGGTATGACAATCATTCCAGTTCACTGATACATTAAGTTATAATTCTGTAAATTTAATGTGTTTGTTTTTTGTTTTTTTTGTTTCTTTTTTAGGATGTACCTTTGACTGGTGATTTGATTAGGGTCAGTAAATGCGGTTGTTCTGTATCAGAAGTTCTACGAATGGAGCGCACAATTCTGGACAAACTCAACTGGGATATGCATGTTCCTACATCCCTTGGATTCCTTCAAATTGTAAGACATGTTTTTGCCTCTGCTTTAAACCATCTGCCCTTACAATAGCTAATAGGCAAGGCGTTTTTTATACCTTGTTTAGCGAACCCGCCGAACCCAAATATGGATGATTTCAAATAAAAATAAAATTTTATTTTTTGCCAATTAGTGAACCAACTGCCACAAAAAATGGAAATTTCAGAAAAAAATTAGTTTAAAAAAAAAATTGTTATTATGCCTTCCGCTGCCTTGAAATCTCCAAAGATAAAATATGTATATTTCTTCCCAATTATATAAGTTTGAAGCATTTAACCATCCCATTTTACATTCACCAATAAAATTTTATTTTTATTTTTTCCTCTGTCTGGATGTTTTTTGACAAAACTATTTGCTAAATAACAAAGCAAAATTTTATTTTTATTTTTGTTCCGCCCTCCTCCAATGATCTTTAAAAAAATAAGTATGCGAAACAAGGAATAAAAAAAGTCTCGCCCTAGGGGCGAAGAAAGTTAGAGCTACTAGTCCACATATCAATCGCCATGAGCTCCTAGTTTGATGGATACCGGCACCAGACAAACCAGACAAATCTACACTAGTATTATCATCTTGTAAATGCACAATTTTTATGTAGTATTTAGGGATTTATTTTTTTAAATTGTTTATTTGGTATAAAAACATGTTACACACAACTGCAAAGGCTGAAATGGCTTGAATATGCAACAACATTTAATGAAAAAATACATTATTATTTAAAAATCTATATAAAAATATTATACTGATTGTGATTGTGACAGTTATTAAGAATATGAAAAGTACATCAATATTTGAAAATCTGTATAAAAATATTATGTACATAAGGTTTACACTTTATCAAGTTTGTTTTTAAGTAATGTCTTAGTATATGTTCAAAGAAAGAGCAGAAGGTTGTCTTTTCAATGTTAAATAAGTTTAATAACAATAATAATAATATTAATAATATTAATAATATTAATACTAATACATTAATGCATGCATTATTATTATTGAATACATTTAACATTCATTCTCTTTATACAGTTGCATGCTCGGCTTCTTGCACACCATCCACAACTACTCAATGGCTTAGGCCACATGACCGCCTCCCGTCACCTCTCCATCCTGACAACCCGCCTGTTAACCAGCTTAAGCAATGGGGTACTGTCACAGTACAGTGGATCCACCATTGCAGTCAGTCTACTCAGTCTGGAGCTTGAGAGACTAACTCCAGCATGGTTGTCCATTATTATCATGATGCAGGACACTGTCAAGGTATGCTCATTTCCTCTTTATATAGCCACTTAAAAAAAATCCTGTGGAACATGTGGGAAAAATACAATGCAGTAAGGATGAATTTTTAAGAATATAGAATTATGATGGTCATTTTGGTAACCCACACAAAACGAAACCTTGTGGGGGTGGGGTGGGTGGTTGACAGGACATTTTTGTTTAATTGTCTTTTTAGCAGGCCTGTATTATGTAAACATTAAAGGCTGCGATTCTTGTATTGTTAAAATGTACTGAATAATCAGAGGTAGGATTACCTCTTATTGATATTCTTCTACTAGACTTGAAGGACTTCGCACTGTACTCTCACTTAATCCTCCATTATACTATGTACCCTGTTGTTAATCCTTCTGTCATTTGCATAGGACTTGTTGCCTTGAAGTCTATATCAAAGTAAAACATCAAGGGACATGCCATTTTGACGGTCATACCAAATTATTTAACCCTGGTTGTTAATAGGACTCTTAAAAATCAGTCTAATTTAAAAAATAATGAGAGGTTTTTATAATTAAATACTTGAAAATATCATTAAGCAAAAGAATACAATGAGGTGGCCTGATTCAACAGCATCTCAGATACAAATTGTTATTCAATTTTAACTTAATTTGCAAAATGTAAGAAATCCGTAATATTTTCCCAAAAGTGGATCTATATTCTGCTGTATAACAAATCTTTAACATTTAATTAAACAAAAACAGATTGCGTTGCAGACGATTAAGGGTGAATTGCTAGCTGCCCTGACGCAATCTGGAAGGCACCCCGATCCATCTGCAACGTAATCAGCAAAGTTGATGGGTTCAACATCCCCAACAACTGTCACCGATAGGGTGAGCGATTCTACGGAAACCAAACTTGAGATAAAGCTTTACAATTTGTTTTCATTTGATTATGTACAGGTGGAGAATCAAGACCTAATCCATTGTCGTGAAGTGATAAGTCAGACTCTTATGGGTTATCCAACTACCAATGCACTCTACTACTGTATCAACCCACCTTCTGTCATTGACAAATCTGATCATCAACTCAACAAAGTTAGCACTGACCTGGATGAGATCTTTGACAGTATCAAGTTACTATATGAGGATGGATGGGAGAAAAATCAGCCAGTAGTTTTAGAAAAACAGTGCAAAGGATCTAGCCTGTCCCCTTGCCCACTGTTGCAAACTGTGGGACCAGTATAGATGGCATGTTATGACACTGTTGGTTATACAATATTTATTAATAGTTTATAGTGTATAAAAATCAATTAAGATGCTTGTATAGATCTTGTAAAGATAAAAAAAAATATGTATGATTATTTGGGATGATTGTAAATAGACAATAATATAATGTAAAGACTGTTAATATGCAGGGGCATGACTAACCAGTTGTGTTTCAGCTTCGTTCAAGATTTTAAATTTCTGTCCTCATATGTCCTCCTTTCAAGTGTTTTAATGCGTGGCCATTTTGCTGTTATCTGTAAGAACTTTATGAAAACTCTTATTTTGACACAGAAATTAGTATGCTGTGTTATAGTGTAAGGTTTACAAATGCATCAGTATTGATTCTAATGCATATGTTGTTCAAACCCAGTGAAGTGGATATTAACAATCAATTACTTACAAATACAAGGAGGAAGATTATATCTACTCTTAATAATTTAAAAACAGCCAACACAGATGAATGAATTGCTATGCATTATTTTGATTGGTTGAATAATATTGATCAACAAATCAGAATAATGCTTAAAAACAGCCAACACATAGATGAATCTCTAAGCATTATTTTGATTGATTGATTGATTAATACAATTTAACCAATTAAAATAATGCTTAAAAACAGTCAACACATATATGTTTCTAAGCATTATTTTGATTGGTTGATTAATACTATTTATGGGATTCACTATCTTTATAGATTGTTTATCTTGTCCACTAGGAGAATGCATGGACCTTATTAATAGGTCCATGGGTGATGTATTCACCTGGAGTGCTTAGTTGATTCTGTGCTGCACCATAAGTGATTTGTGTGTGGTTGACTTAACATTATAGCAGTTTGGTTGGCCTTTTAAATGATCAATAATAGAGTTTTGCTATATTCATTTAGTGACATGAATTTGTAAGATTTTGTATACCATAAATTGTTTAAAATTATGTGATTCTTTTTTTTAACACCAAGCAATAAGCAATCCATTTGCATTCCCATTTAGTAACAAAGCAACACAACTTCTCACATATAAATACATCATTAGATATTATTTCAATACTGTATTAGAAATCATAAATAATTATTATATAAAATGATTTATTTTTCTGTGTAATTTCAACATTTCTTCTGTGAAGAATTTAGTTTTATGTAAAACATTTATAACGAAAGCCAGAATGTGAATCTTGTCTCATAATTCCTTCTTGTGTTTTACTGTTAGTGATGGTTGTTTTTATATCCATTGATGTGTATTTACATATACACTGCTATATTGTTATAAATGTTACATTGACCCATATGAACAGTTCGCCTGTCTGCCAAAGCACACAACAGTCAAATTGTTATCAGTATTAGATTGTCCAGCAGATTATAGTTTTATATTGATGCTTTTTGTAGGTCTGGTGGTTATTTTGTAATGATATTTTGTCAGGTTTGTTTTTTTTGTAATGGGCAAATAAGTGCATGGTGATATATTTAAATATCTTTAGTAGAGAGTTTAGTTTTATCAGCCTCCTTTCCTTCATATGGCAGTTTAAAATTGTATTAGAATAAGTCTTTGTTTATTTCTGAAAATGTCAATGTTTGTCACAGATAATGCATTTCAATGTTTTTACACACTGCTGTACTATGCTGGTATCATATGTGAAATTAGCATTATTTGATTGTTCCTTTCCTTGATATGTTGTTCTGTATGTGTTCAATAAAAATGCAAAGGATAATACAGATATTGATCTATTTTTCTGCTTTGGTCTGTTTGAATATTAAATCCTGTAAAATGATGACTAAGTACAGTACAGTATGAAAGTCTAGTCCTGTGAGTGGGTGCTTGATACTAAGTACAAACTACAACAATTCTACAGGGATCTGTGAACTTTTGCTCCAGGTGTTTGATGAACTTTAATAATATTAATTAGGATGTACAGTACAACACTATTATACCAGAGAGTATGGAATTGTTCTATGCAGTTTTATATACAGTATTCTATATACAGTATATACTTCCGTAGTTCAATTATAGTATGTAATTCTTGTACTCTTTGATATATGCCTACAACCTCCATTTGTTGTAACTAATGGTTTGTATTTAAACATTTTAATTTATTTAAGCTTTCTAACAAGGGGGTATCTGTTCAGTGACTAGCACTGCTTTCCAAGGAAGCCCTGGTAATGTTTTTTTTATTTTTTTTTTAAATTTATCTATTCTAAATCAACATGCACTGAACGTGTACACGCCCCCTTTGAATGCTTGAAGGTGATTGGCCAACTGACTTGCTTTTCTTCCGTCAACCAAATCTATTTTTAAACATACGTAGCGCCACCTAGTCAGACTTTCATGTTGATTGGTCAGCATCTGTCATTCAAATATTTACAATGCTGTCACTTATACGCTAGATGAATATTGTTAAACATACTGTATAAATATTTAAAATGCGTTCTTGAAAATACACATATAAATGAAAACAAGTATGTAATACATTCTAGTAGACACTTAAAAGAATTAGTTAACGTGTCTGCTAAAAAGCGCCTCTAAATATTTCGACCAATAAGAGCTGTCGGAACATAAGGTTTGGTTGGTCTTTAAATAAAAACATTCTCAACATGTGCTGCAGTTGAAGCATGTGTGACGGCTGCAGTGATGTTACTGTAGCGTGCAGCTGCACATTTATTTAATTGTAAGTAAAATTAATGCTAATTAAAAGATAAATGTTATGCAAATACTATAAATCATAAAAATGAATACATATTTTAATATTTATAAAACAAATGTGTTTTTGACTGAATTCGATTTATTTTTAAATGTGGTAACGACGTGTCTTGCTTGTTGTGTGTATGCCTAGGCTTACACTGTGTACAGTCTGGTCAATGTGTAGAGATTTGGACGGTGAACGAGACGTTCACGAATGAACATTTTGTTTTGAATTTTAATTTACTACTACTAAAGTCACTTTAGCATACATCATCATCATCATCCAGTTAACATGATGCGAAGACCATCGAAGCTTGAACCTATAGACGAATACCTTTCATCACATGGGCTATATCGTAAAATAACTGCAAAAGATGGATCATGTCTGTTTAGGGCAGTTGCAGAACAAGTAAGTTGTCATTGAGCAACCATACCTATATGGTTAAATTAATTTGTTATACTGTCTAGTTGTATGTATATCTATGAAGCTATGGGAACCATATGCATCTGAAGCTTGCATTTTACTGAAAACAATTAGAAGTACCGGTATCCAATTCTGATTGTTTTTCAAATCATCATTACTAAGTCCTCTAAATTTATATTTTTTATAAATGTCCAGTCTGTACTGCGAAATTGCTCATATCCTGTGGTGTCAAAATACAAAAAAAAAGCCAGAAAAAATGATACACAAATTTTACAAAATAATGTGTAAAGGTCAAATGAAATATTGAATTAATGAAAATGTCGATCTCATTGCATCCCTGACAAGGGCAAAGTGAGTGGGTGAGGGAGGGAATTGTTATTTGATATTTTTTTCAAGGTTTGCCAAAATGTTCCGAAGGGTCTAAAGCACTTGTCAGTTGTAGTCCCGGTCCCTCCGCCTGGGACTGAGCCAGGGATGTACACATAGTTGTGTCTCCGTGGTGCCGGGACATATCTAAAATTTACCCGTAGATGTAACAGGCTTCTGAAGTCAGTGTAGCAGCGGTTTCGGGTGTGTACAGCGGTAGCCGGGATGTACGATAAAACGATGCCCCGCATTGCCAGGAGGTGGCCTTGATTTTCACATGCGTGTAACCGTTTTGGAAATTGCATCCCCGGCTAAGTCCCCAGGGGGGGGGGAACTACAATTGACAAGTGCATAATCTGACAAATTGTCAAAATTTCTTCACTTTTCAAAATTTGTTTGTTTTTCATACTTGCTGGTTGTTTGATATTCTGTTGCATAATGTGTTTAACTTATCAAAATTTTGCGTTTGTAAGTTTAAAAATAAAATAATTTATGTGGACTAAAAATTGGCGAGGACTGGAATGGGAATCAAAGAATTCTTTCTACTTCGCCTAAAAGTTTAATTTATGGACGTTTATTATGTTAGTCATATTATCACATTTTATTGTTTCAGGTATTCTATACCCAGGCACAGCATATGGAAGTTCGTTTGGCATGTATCAATTTTATGATGAAAAAAAAGGAGCATTATGAACCTGTAGGTGTTTTAAGCTGGGCACTCACTGCGTCCGATGCAATTCTGAGGCAACACAAGGATGCACGCGCAACGGGTCATTCTAATGAAGATCAGTTCAGACTGCAATCAGCAGACGACGTTGCGTCGTCTAGCGCTTTAGCTGCGATGGTCGCACGACGCAGTTAGTGCCCTGCTTTACTTCAATTACTTAAAATTTCATTTTTATCATAAAAAATTCTTTGTTACCATTCCGGTGAGTTACTAATTAAAATGCATTTTTCATTTAATTTGACAGTTTATTGATTGTCCATTTAATGAATACATATCACGCCTGACAAATCCCTGGGTAAGTGTTTATGATAATTATTACACACTTCTTTACCTATTTGTTGTCAATTTAGGCTATGTTCTCACACGGCTGCTAAACGTTAGCTGCCGTGCATTCATAAGAGAAAATCCCGATCCGGATACCAACAAATATGATGATCGGAATCACTGGCCAGTAAGAAACTGGAAATTGTAAACGCTACGTGTGATTGGTTGATGATAGAAATGCTCTCAACTTGCTAACCGATATCACTTGCTAACCGTTAGTGGTATCCGGATACCGCTAACAGTTAGCACTAACCGATCGGGTGTTATCACGCAGGTGCTAACGGTTAGCTCCCGATCAGCTCTCGATCCGGATACTAGGGCTCTCGTGAGAACCAGGCAATATTTAACAAATTTTTAATTGAATGTTTTGAATGCTTTTTACATTGTAAATGGTTTTATGTTTGTATGTTTTGAGATGCATATAAATCAAATAAATTAATTTCAATGTAGTTGGTCAGTATCCGTCATTCTAAATTATATTGTATTTGTTTTCTTGCTACCTTTATAGATGTCCATTAGACACAACTGCACTAGCTTACATTTTGGGTCATCTAACTCAGTAACGCAGTACAGTTATGTGAATTATAATGCAAATATGTAGTGTAGGCACATAGCATCGTTTTGAAGCAATAAAGTTGTAGTTGTCTGGAAATTGCTGGTTGTATGTAATTTTGGAATCTACAAAAACGTGTCTACGTCTTGGATTGAAGCCCCTCTTTAGTTTTCCAAAGTTGCCTTGAAAAGAAGTCTACAGGCTTCTTTTCAAGATAGCAGGGGCTTCTATTCGAGATAGTACAGTACGTACAATACGCTGTACATGAATTTCAAAGAAACAAAATAAAGAAGATGCCTGGTTTTTTAGGGGATTTAATACCAGTTAATACACTCCATGATACAGATTGATGCTACAGTGACCCTATTTATTGTTTCATAATAGTAATTTCCAAAATTTATAGCATTCATTTTGAAAAGAAGCCCCCCCCCCCACATTTTTACTTTGCAAAAGTACTGTAGCTTCGTAAAGAAGACCATCACAAAAAGAAACCCGTTTGAAGTTTGCAAAAAAGGAAGCCCTTGGCTTTAATTTTTGAAAGTATTACAGTATGAATGTATGAGTTGCACAAGGGATTACTTGCACTTATTCCATATTTAAATTTACTACCTAGGAATGGGGAGGTGATGTTGAAATATCAGCTTTATCACTACTTTATGAGTAAGTGATTTTTTGATAATTATTTACAATAATATCAATTATCAGTGCATATACTTTGCCAGCGACAGTTACATATTATGTCTGAGTAAAATAATCGGGTCTACTATTGAGTACTTGCTTTATGAGAGAAGGGGAAATTTATACATTATTAATTATACACATTAATATTATTAATTAGATTGTGATGCAGTACCATACACCATGAATGCCAAATTGTGATAGAATATGTTATTTGTAGTCAGTCAAAATTAACTTAGCTCAGTCGGCTAATCTGGTGGTAGCCAGTGTGTGTGCGCTGAACCGTGGAGATCTCTAGGTCCCCTGGTCAATTCCCATCGCTGCCTCTCCTTGTGTTTCAGCTAGAGGGCTGAAATACAAGTTACAATAGTGCACCGTTTTCGGATGAGACGTTTAAACCATTGGTCCCGTGTGCATTTATGGCCCACGTGCACATTAAAGAACACAGTACTCTCTTCGGAAAAGAGTAGGGGATTGTCTCCCGTTGTACTGTCCAATCACCAAAAAAAGAACTGCACTGAAAATAAGTCTTCTAGACTTTCGTGGGCTATCCTTAGTGTTTTCACCAAATAAATCCAATCCAATCCAATGATTTGTCCATTTGAAATTCTTATATAATATTTTTCCAGTATGACATCAATTAGTAATGAGCGACAATTATGTTTTTTGTAGACGTGATTTTTTGATATATGAAGAAATAGGAAAAGCACCCGTAGAGGCAACAGAAAATGGGTTCGCTAAGAAGGTAAGTGCAGATATGTACAGTAACTTAAACCCTTATCGCAAAGTTTTAGTTTTTGTGTTTCATTCTTTTCCAATTCTTTCCATGAACAATTTCCATTCATTTTGTCCACTTATTTGAAAATATTTGATATTGTAGTTATTGAATATCAAGTTTGATTGATTGATTGACAGATTGTCTTATGTTTCACCCATGGCAACCACTATGATAGTGTATTCACAAAGCAGTTTCAAGATACTGCAGCAATATGTCAAGGTAATTTTAAAGCATACGTGTTACATTCCATCTTGTCTTTGCAAATGTGTTGCTCTTTCAATTGATTCTGAGACTTCGGTGAAAAAAACATTATAGAAGTGCTAAAATGGCAATAAAAAAACAGTAATGTAAAATCTAATTTTAAAATTAAGATCAGCTTCAAATTTTCTGTATTTTTAAAGCTGCTTTTATGATATTCTGATTCCTCTTTACTAAGATATTATATTTTCTTTGTTGAATTTAGGTTTTAGCCGTGTATAAATATAGAGATTATTATTATTATAACTGTTGTAACTCAAATCGACAAGATTTTATAAGCAACACAAATTTGAAAGCAGTTATCCAAGATTTAATCAAGTAATTATCAATACGTTTCAACTGTGTCTCACAGGCATACATCAGTTAACTAACTAAATAGGTGTTTTAGGTGTTTTATGTTTAAAACACCCAAAGCACATGTTTCGCTTAGTATACATATTTATTGTTGTCAAAGATACTAATTAAGTAACTTTAATAGTAAATATAGCTACTCTGAAAAAAAGTAAAGTTCACTAATCATTTTTATTTATTCCACCAATCAGCAGCAAGTCTCACTACCCAAACATATTAAGTATTTACCTGTTTGGAATTTTCTGCAGATATTATTTTCCTGAAGACGATTGAAGCAACTCATTCAAAACCATCGAGACATTCTCAACCAACGACAGTTCTTTTCTGTTTACGTGCTGTACCGCAAGCATTAATATATAATTTTTTTATTTAATCAGTCATTTTACTTATCCCTCAGCTGTTGTGTATGAACTGTTGTACAAAGATGTATTTAAGCTGCATGACAAAGTTGATGAAGCAATTGATATTCTACGATATCCCAACCGCATTCCATTTCCATGTGAGCAGGAAAACGAAGAGTCCAATAGACAACAGGAACACGAGTATGAAAGCTCAGGGGAAGTGTTCGATAGAGGTTTTGATATGGTAAACAATATAGCTACAATTGATCTTTACTTAAATTTGTTAAGTCTTTTAATCAATATTGCATGGGTGGCAGAAGCTGTCCGGCAGGTCAGACAGCTGCCTGACCAGTGCTTTTCTGAGAGCGTTTTTAAAGCTATTTTTGAGTAATAGAAGCAAATTCTGCCCCAACGTAATACGTAATCATAGCTTAGGCCCGGAAAGGAATGATGTTCGTTTATTGAAAGAAGGGCAGCCTAGTCAACCTAGGCCTAATAATGTGCTTTTTTATTCTACCAACACACAATTTTTACTGGTTGGTCAGTTATTTTTACTGGTAAAATTGACAGCTAAAACGGCTTAGGGAGAACACTGCTTGTTATCATCTTGTAATGTCAACTGAAATAATATATCAGTATTTGTCAATGACAGAGAAAAAAGATAGCAATAAGAGCAGTAACAAATCATGTATTTAGCAATGTGAAAAAATCTAGGGATCAGTTAAATACATGTTCTCTTGTCCTAGAAGAGAGAGAGCAAAAGACGTCCACCTTTTCCGTACAAAGTCATCAAATCACTGGACCCAGAAATTTACAGAAATGTGGAATTTGATACGTGGTCAGATTTTAAAAAACGTAAGTGAATCCTTGCCAAGTTTTTCTTCATGAATTGTACTCTGAGAAAAATCAGAATAAAACAAGGTATCTTCTCTGAGCCTATCTCTACAAAGTACTTGTGTTTAATGATTACTTGTCAAATAGTATTTTATTTTATATTGTGATATGTATGTATGTTGTGTAGGTACAGGAATTTCATATTTTATATTATGACAGTAAATTCAATCTAGATACTTTTTATGGAGCTAATTTGCTGCCTGCAAAAAACCCCTTTTTTGGTTTTTTTTTTACTATATTGGTGAAATTTTATTGTCAATGAAGGGAAGCTAGATTTATTAATATAGTAAAATTTCATATATTGATATCTGTGTTAAATATAAATTATTTTTATGCGGATAATAGCACTTAATGGCTTCTTTAGCAATATATAATAAATTTATTCTAGTAACTAATTTGATATTACAGTGAAAACTAATGAATGTTGTTTAAAGCTGTCTATTGGACAAAAAACTGCTCTATCATAATATGCCTATATGGTCGTCATTACCATATTTATGCATGTCACATGTTTTGTCAAATAAAGTTTGATAATCTAGAAAGGTCTTTACAATGTGTAAATAGTAAATACTGACTTCATAGTTTGTTCTTTTGACATTGAAAAGTAAAGATATTTAACCATACAACAATTTTGCAACAGTTATAACTCTAATGATATTTATAAATAACTTTTTTATATTTTTATAATAAATTCTGCTCTTAGAACAACAGCACCGTGAGTACCTGATATCTGCAGGCATGCAGTATGCTCTTGGTGACAAATGCTTAGTAAGTATTTAATTTTAATTCCCATAAAACAAATGACTCCATTTTATGATTGCTGTGGAGCTAAACAGTATAAGTGTTCTAGAAAATGAGATGCAGGGCTCTAAACTTGGGTGCAATTCAGTCAAGGTTGCTGGCAGTTTACCAGGTGTTTAATTACCCCTAAGCGACCTGGGGAGGTTGGCATTGAAGGTAGTCTCCTGAGAGCTGTATATTTCAGATTTTTTTCCTACATATTTTGTCACATCATTGATAGTAACTTTGGAAAAGAAAAAACAGCTCTTCTATTGCCATGTAAGTAAAGATGGTAATACGTTTTCAAGAAAGATGTATGAATGAGACTATGTTTTTCTTAAGAATTATATCTACACTTTTTTTTTTATAAGAACTAGAAGAATTTTTGCCCAGGCTCATTGTTTTTTCTTATTTTGTTCTTATGTTACACTTTTCAAATTATACAAAATTATTATTGTACAAGTACTGTATATACACTGTGCTGGAATGTAGGTAAAAGTTGCTCTGGAAAAAATGTGTACTGGTATCTATTTTTGATGAAAGTAATTTCTTTATGTTTGTCAAGAAAAATTCTCTCGGTTAGAATTAAAGATGATAAATTTTGAGAAAAAAAGGTATTGTCTCCATCATTGGGACAATATGTTTTTCACAAATGTATTATTTAAATTTAAAATTCAAAATAATTTGTGATACAGGTCTCTTTCTAATGAAAGACCCCTCCAATTAATGGCCATATCCAATTTAAGACCCTTTTCTGTTGTCCCAAATTTTGTGAATGTCTTATCTTCATTATTGTATTTAAGAGACCAAAGCTGTTGAAGAACATGGAAACAAACGATCCCAAAAGTAGTCTTTAATTGGAGGGAGACCTTTGTGTATTTTAGTATTTAGCAGACTCAGGGGTGGCGCCAAAACCAGTGGGGAGAAGGGGTGGGTAGGGTTGGAGGAGCAGTTCCTCGTCTGAGAAATTACAGTATAAGTATCTTAAATATTGGTGGACTCTAAAATCGAATAAGTAAGCCGTTGAAACCCCTGAATTGTCAGTTTTCCATGGGGCTTTGCCCATGGACCATTTCCGAGAGGTTTTGATTGACGCCTACTTGCGCACCAGTGGCAGAGTCAGTTCCCCGGTCCAGCAGATCCTGGTGCCATCCCTGATCTAATTTTCATGATAAAAATTTATTCATTCCTGTTTTTCAAGAAGGTTTATTGCAAAAAATTCAGTATTTTACTAATGCATAGTTTCTGTGTAATAAATTTAATTTATTAGGCTTGTTAAATTCTTTATAGGTTCATTTAGAAGATGCATCTAAATTTTACAATGCTCATATTCAAGAAGTCTCCTCAGCAAATGGACCTGTAACAGTTTTTATTGAAGAAATGGGTGAAAAGTAAGGCGTGTTGTATAATGTAGAGTTTATTTACTGCTTTGCACTGTGTATGTTATATTTCTTTGCACATTCCTTCCTCAACATGTTAAAATGTTTGATTTTTTATTTCCATGTCCAGGAGTTCCAAATCTCCTGGAAATGCCTTAAATCTGCATGCTTTTACTACTGCATTACCCCTTTATAATATCATTTGTCTCACGGAATTCAGTTTTGATTGGTGTGAAAAGAAATTAGATGTGCTAAAAAAAGCTTGTCCTGGAAATGACTTTTTCCAACTTGAGAGCCTTGCATGTATTACTTATGTGATTGATTAAACCTCTGCAATTAGAACATTTAAAACATGCTAGTCATTGGTCTTAATTTGCAGGCAAACAATGCAGTGATATTTGGTTTTCTGTTCAGTCAGTTCACTTTTTCATCATTTTTTAGGTGCATTTAGACTTCAGTATAATGTGCTATATGAAATTGCACTACATTACATGCTTGCTTAATGTTGCTTGTGTTACTGTAGATTTCATTTTTCTATTTTTTTTGTTTGCATGTTTTGTGATGATAGGTGCACTGTACCAATTAAAAATCTCCGTCCCCTGAATCAACCACCACAATCCTACAAATGTATTTCTCCTAGAAGCTTCAAGAACCAAGGAGGCCATATTAGTAAGTGGTTTTTGACCTCCCATTTTACTCATGTACTATGTTGTTCAGCTTAGAAGGGTGTAGTGCCTTGGAATTTGAGAAGCTTTTTATGATGATTAACACTAAATTTTAGGCACTGCCCCATATTCACATTATGATCTGTTGCCATAGAATCTTTAAGATTAATTTTAAATTTGAGTTAAAGATGTTTTACCTTTCAGGTCCTCATCTTCGGATCTTAAAGAGAGGGCGGTTCTTGAGTGATAGTGTCTACGTTTTAGGTGATGACCAATCAGCGTACCAAGATCAAGCTATGAGAGATGAAAAATATTCACCTTATAAACAAGGATCACATAGATACCTCTCTCCATACAGGTAATATATTAGGAAAGATAGCAGAATTGCATTTCTCACATAGAGTGAATGGTAAATATTCATGATGGTTTCTGATGATGATGCTAACAATAGTAATGGTAGTGCATGGTAAATAGTGGTAGGTCAGTTGTGTTTCTGATTCACGAATGATTATGTTTATGATCATGGTTATTTTTGATGAGCAAAATGATAATGATTTTTATGACATTTCAGAATGCGTAGAGGTGTTCATTATAGTCGGCAAAGAACCTACAGTCAGGGAAGTGACACTGACGAGCATGTCATAGTGGAAAGTTCAATGTATGATCTTGAGGATGAAGGTGTACAGGGACCTTTCCCACCAATGCCTGTAAGTATGATTCAAACATCAAATATTAGAGAGAGTAGCATACATATCGATGTCTACATCTGTATGCTGTGCACATAAAAATGTGAATTCTTTCTTTAGGTTCATGTTCATCAGAGTGGACCAGTGGAGGGGAAATCTGGAGGATGCTGGGGTAAACTACGCAGAAGAGGTCGAACCTCTCCCTCTCTAAACCATCCTAGGAATCTGGTTCATGATCACTATGCTGACCAGTTTGTCCAAGGCTGTGGTGAGCTTCAAACATTATTAATTCTTTCTTTCTTTTACTGCATTCTCCCAATGGGGACAAGCATATTATTAATTAATTATTTTATACTAATTGATTATACCAACGTCTCAAAGACATGGGGAACAGCAGTGGCACTGGCTTCTTCTGCTGTTTCTCTTTGTTTCTTTTATTTTTCCTGTAGTTACTTTTAGGATATTTCTCTGTTTTTGACTTTCAACATTATACTTTTCAAATGCAGAGACTGTCCATTAATATGCGCTATACAAATACATAGCCATTACCAGGTCACTACAGTTCTTATCATTGCCACATGGCATGAGAAGGAGAATTGACGGTGGCTGTAATTCATAGCTACCTTCATGTAAAATTATTTTTAAATCATAGAAGGATATTTTAGTGATTAAAGTGTTTTCCTTTTTATAGACATGCAGGTCGATGATGAAATGTATGAAGAACAAGGTCAGTGGATGAGACATCAAAATCGTTCTTTTAACTATTTTATTCTGAAAGTCAACTAATGATTGATATATATAAATGATTGGTTATTTTGCATACAAAATTATCTGGGTATAAATGAAATTAATCTGTAAAATGTTAGTGTATGAAATAAAGGAAAGAAATTATTAAAGGTATCAATAAAATATTAAATGATTTGTTTTCTATTAGTTATTGATGACGGTCAACGTACCCAGCCGCACAGAAGGAAGGTAATGCTTTTCACAGCTTTTAAAAAACACACAATCTTTCATTTTCATTCTTAAAATACTTTATCAATGTTAACACAATTTGAATACACAATGTATTCATTTTTCTTTGCTCAATAATACACTATTTTTAATTAGCATTGTAGTATATTTGATTCCTCATGACCGAGTGTTTTTTTTTTTTCGGTATTCAAAATTATAAATGAGATTTAACCTTATATGTTCTTAATAAGATATTATTATAAATATTTTAGATGCTTACTGTATATATAGATGCTTATTAAAATGATGTTATATATTTTGGAGTATGGTCATAACTGAGATTCAAAACCAATGGAGAAATTTTATCTACTTTCACTGCAGAAGGTGTACCTATCTGCATTAATGAAGAAGTAGTCTACACTACTTCAGACGGTGTAATATACACCCCTTCGGTGGGCATGATCTACACCCCTTTAAGGGCATAATCTACAACTCTTCTGAGGGAATAATCTACGCTTCTTCAGAGGGTCTAATTTACATCCCTTCAGGAAGTGTGATATTTTTAATGCATATTAAGTCTGGGCTTTGAACTTCAGACACCGTCACCAGCTCAAGATATGCCACAGGGTAACATACAAGAGGGGCACTTTGTGTGCACAGATCCAAGCTGGAGTGATTCAAATTCGAGCATAATGGAAGACAAAATGCCGAAGCCTCTTAACAACAATGCAACACAACCAAACATGATGCCAGTCAACAGTCAGCCCTCAATGTCTGTTGGGATTCCATTTTGTCCTATTATGTTGCCAGGTAAGACCCCCATTTTCAGCCGCACAGAAGGAAGGTAATGCTCTTCACAGTTTTTATAAAACACACAATCTTTCATTTTCATTCTTAAAATACTTTATCAATGTTAACACATTTGAATACACAATCTATTCATTTTTCTTTGCTCAATAATACACTGTTTTTAATTAGCATTGTAGTATATTTGATTCCTCATTACCGAGTGGTTTTTTTTGGGGGTTTTTTTTGGGATTCGAAATTATAAATGAGATTTAACCTCATATGTTCTTAATAAGATATTATTTATTATAAATATTTTAGATGATTACTGTATATATAGATGCTTATTAAAATGATGTTAAATATTTTGGAGTATGGTCATAACTGAGATTCAAAACCAATGGAGAAATTTTATCTACTTTCACTGCAGAAGGTGTACCTATCTGCACTTAATGAAGAAGTAGTCTACACTACTTCAGACGGTGTAATATACACCCCTTCGGTGGGCATGATCTACACCCCTTTAAGGGCATAATCTACAACTCTTCTGAGGGAATAATCTACGCTTCTTCAGAGGGTCTAATTTACATCCCTTCAGGAAGTGTGATATTTTTAATGCATATTAAGTCTGGGCTTTGAACTTCAGACACCGTCACCAGCTCAAGATATGCCACAGGGTAACATACAAGAGGGGCACTTTGTGTGCACAGATCCAAGCTGGAGTGATTCAAATTCGAGCATAATGGAAGACAAAATGCCAAAGCCTCTTAACAACAATGCAACACAACCAAACATGATGCCAGTCAACAGTCAGCCCTCAATGTCTGTTGGGATTCCATTTTGTCCTATTATGTTGCCAGGTAAGACCACCATTTTCATATAAATTTGTTAAGATTAGTTTGGTTATATAGTGCATTCCGGGAACTATAATATTGTTGCTTTTGAAAGTACAGTAAAACGTCCATTTTACAAACGTTTATTTTGCGAATGGTCTTTGCCCCTGATGATGTCATCATCGACCAATTATTACCTTAAAAAAAGCCTGATTGCACACGTTTTACAAAGTGATAATGTATATTTTTCCTAATAAAATCAAGTTTGTTGTATTTATTAGCAACTTGATCTTTTCTTCCATTTCTGGTATAATAATCCCTATTAAACCTAACCAGAACAATGAACTACCAACGCCAGTGTTGTCGGATTGAACGCACATATTTACGATATGATGAAATAGAGTGTTTGGGTCAGCAACTTATTGATATTGTGAATGCTAGATATGATCGCGAAATGCATGTAAACAATACAATTCAGCGTTCTAACAACTAGAAAGAACACGAGAGAAAGATCCATAATACAGATGTTTGAATAAGAGTTAAAATTATATTTTGTTACGTGGAAGAATGCCAATGATTAAAATAATTTGGTTTTTATCGAAGGTTAATTCAGCTAGGCTTTAGCGCGGTACACCATGCTGCTGCACGGTGTACCGTGATACCTGGTTTACAAATTTTTCAATTTACGAACACCCTTTCTGTGTGACAGAAAATAAGAAAGTTCGCCAGTCAAGTTTATTTATTCTTTTTATAGCAACTGATAACTTAACCGGACCAGTCAATATAGCAGCGGGTAGCTCCAGGGACCAAAATGGCTCAGATCTACCATTGCATGGTAAGAACTTAACTTGAAAGCAGCTTATTTTGAAAATTTCAAATATATTCAACATGAATCTTTGGTTTAATGTAATACAAAACATGTTGATGGCATACTTATTTTTTATTTATATATTAAGTTTTATCCAAGACTATATAACTGCAAGAGGTCCGACTGCCCTCATTTTGTATGCACACAATGAAACGATAAAAAAATACTGCCACAAGATAGGGGGCGCTTTATTAGAATTCAAACAGTTTGCACGAAACTCGTTTTTTGAAGGACACGCCTCTTTGTGGTAGTAGATTTGAAATAGGATTAGATTCCAACAAATCATGAGAGTTGAATCTCTTGTAGTCCTGTCCCAAGTAATTGGATCATTGTTGGTGCTGTCATGAGCGCAGGAGCAGGCAGCCCCACCAAGTTCTCATCAGTGGAGAGAGGTAACATGAATAAAGTGCTTGCTCAAGGATACAAGGATTGTAACCCTGACTTCAAGGTTGAGAAAGCAAAGCAATGGTGCTGCGTCAAGCCACTTTTACCCTTTTATGCTTCTCCGTGTCAATTAAAAGATCAGATTTACAGCAACATAGAACCTTCCATTGTCATTCATGATGATGATGAACATATATATATATAAAGTATGTTTTATTATAATATAATTTTTTATTGTATTTTCAGATGTATCAACTTTGAGATTTTTTTATAATCTAGGATTTGAGGTGAGCCAGAAGTTCTTACTATTTATTACATTTATCAAAAAAAAAAATAGTTAAAAATTCTTGTTTATTATACAGTTGAACTTGCCTAAGTAGAATCCAAACTGGCATTGAAAAATTGTTTGACTTGGGTAAAATTTGACTTACAGATTTTTAATTAAGTGAAAATACAACAATTTGGTATGTAAAATAAGATCAACTTTTAAATTATTTTAAGTTAGGAAAAGTCGAATTAGGCAAGTTTAATTGTATTATTAATATTGTGTGTGCATCAGCAAATTGTAATAAATATTGTTATGAACTTAAAGTTAGGGTTTCGTACAAGAAACCATATTCTTTATTGATCAAAAATATAAAAAGATGTCATTGAAACTGTATACAAGAATGATGTTGAGTTAATATGTATATTTACATGTTTGTGGTAGAAGCAGTTGTGGCTCTGACTCTCAACCTTGAGGTTGGAGGTTGAAATCCTTCCTGTGCAAGTAGCTACTGTCCTTAGGCTACCAGACATTCCCACCACCTATTCCTCCTCCTCATCAAATGCAAATGCAAACACAGCCCATGAGACCAGCCATGGTTCAGAGGATGCCATACCAGGAAGGAACCAGATGCAGGAGCTCATCTCTCGGTAGCATTATATCGGAAGAGGAGTTCGAAGGAAGGAGATCCTATGCCAGAGCTAATGGTATGTATAACTATAATACTACCAGTAATATAAATATTTAAAATATTTCTGTGGTGTAATTTTTTAGTAGACTGTCTCTGTGCACTTATTATCCCTGGTCATCGGATTAAAGACAACATCCTCAACCTTCTAGGGAGCACAATTCTATAAGCAGATAAGTAATCCCTATAACCGTAAAACCTTGAGAAGATGCCCATCTTGAATTGAACCCCCTCTTCAGTTTGCAAACGTAGTCCCGAAAAGAAGCCCATCTCAAGATAGTGTGGGCTTTTTAGTTCCTATGCATGTAATGCAATAGGAACTATTGTAATCACTCTGTCACATTTCTTTTGTTTTTTATTGTGTGTAGTATGTGTGTGCGTATGTGTGTAGACATTTATGCAAATGCGCATGCGTCAAAGAAAAGTTTTCCGACATTTTGTTTTACATCGCGATGCGAAGTTCGATGTGGATTTTCTGCAGAGTTGAAGTCAGGGTTCACGCTAACCGATCGGCATGTTGGCATTCATGAAACTAAAAGAAGGCCTAAAATAAAACAAAAAGGTTTTAATACTTGCTGAAATACATCGTTTTTTCATTTAGATCTCCATTTTTCACTAACTCCTTGCGACGTTTATTTCTGTTGTATGAGTAGTCCATAGAGCTATTAAACAACTCAGAGTGTTAACAAGATGGCGCAGCAATGCAGAGTTATGTATGTGTACCATCCAAGATAGCCGTCGTAGTAAAGCGCCACCTTCAGGCTTAGTATACATATTATTACCTATTAATAAGCCCTCTGACTGACTATTATTTCATTAATGATAATGAGTAATGGTAATAACAAATTATTAAATATTGTAGCCAAAACGAGGCCAAGTGGAGCATCTTATTCAAAAATTAAGTACCAAGGAATGAAAATTAAAATCGTATACATTACACCCAAACACCGCAACGCTCGAGTTGCAAACATACGGGTAGCTAGCTGTACTGAACCCTCTGAGTAAATTGAGGGCGCAATTGCAAACGATGGCGCTTAGCGAAATTTGATTGGCTAAATCTATGGCAGCCATCTTGGATGGTACCCACACAGTTCTGCGTATTTCTAACATCGAATACATTGCGGTTAGCGCTCTAGTAGTATTCTTATTATTATCTCTATGGAGTAGTCGTATGAAGGTACCATATCCCCGACAGTTGGCTATGCAGCAATGTACCCTTTGAATACAAATTGAAGACAAGTGAAGATATAAAGGCAGTCGACTGTCGGGTATATAACGACGGGTATTCATAACGACTATCTAACTTTCCACAAAAACATTAGGCCTAAGCTTGGCCCTAGTTCGTCAGAATTCGATCCAACTCGGCCACAAGTCAACTCGGCCACAGTCAACTCGGCCACAAGTCAACTCGGCCACAAGTCAACTCGGCCACAAGTTAACTCGGCCACAAGTCAACTCGGCCACAAAAAGTTTGGCTACGTTCTACTCGGCCACAAGTCAACTCGGCCACAAGTCAACTCGGCCACAAGT